CGCTGTAGGCCGCCGTCACCTTGTCCAGGTTGTCCACGCCGCCCTTAGTCGCGTTGTAGCGCAGGAGCGCGGGCGGTTTGCCGTCGGGCCGACGCGTGTCCTCTTCGTCGTCTGGCAGCCTCAGCAGCGAGGGCTCGGACGTCAGCAGCAGCACGTTCTTGCCCCGCTTGGGCACGTACGAGACGGCGCACGCGTCGCGCGTGAAGGCGAACCGGCACGACCGTGGCTCCCGCGCCGACTCCAGCAGCGCGCGGGGTAGTCCGCGAGCGCGATTGGCGCGCAGCGTGCCCAGCAGGTGGAGCCTGCGCTCGGCGGCCAGCCTCGTCACCAGGTGCGGCGAGGTGAAGAAGTTGTCCGTGGTTACGAGGGTGCCCGCGGGAAGGCCCTCGGTCAGGTCTAGCACCACGCGCAGCGTCAGGTCCCGCTCGGGCGGCGCCGTCTTGTCTCGCTTGCCCACGTACGCCTGCACGCGCCACGCGTAGCTCAAGCGCGAGTCGCACGCCACCCACAGCTTGAGCCCGTAGCGAGCCGGCTTGCAGGGCATGTACTGTCGGAAGCCGCAACGTCCTACGCGAAAAAGAAAAAAAAAAGAGGGGGGGGTAAAAAAAAAGGCACACCAAGAACGAAAACACGCGCACACCGTGCGACATCCAAAGCCTCGCGCGCCAGGTGGTTCGAGCGCGCGCGCGCGCGCGCGCTACGTCTCCAACCACGACTCACCCCTGAACGGAACAAGCCGCTCGTCCACTGTCACGCTGTCGCCGGGGCGATACGCCAGCGGCAGCCGCTCAGTCCACGCGCGCCACAGCTCCCCGATGGGCGCCAGGCGGTCACCCGCGGCACGTCTCGCGTCCCTCGTCTCGCGTCCCTCGTCTCGCGGTCGTCGAAGCGCAACACGGCCGAGTATGCCCGGAACTGACCGAGGGGCATGGTCTCGCAGAACACCCTGCGCCCCGTTTCGGCGCGCCACAGGCTCTCGCAGGCCTCGCCGCGCAACCGGAACACGCCCGCGAGCACCAGCAGCTCCACGTATGCGCGAAACTCTGCGCGGCCCATACGACGCCACCGCGGACGATGCTCCGCAGCCGCGTTGGTCGCCGCCACCACCGTCTCCTCCATGGCCCGCGTGAAGAAGAGCGCGAAGGCGGCCGCGGGGCTCTCTCCGCCGCCTTCGCGCGTCGCCAACGACGTGGGACCGCCGCTCGGTTCGGGCGAGGGACGCGGGGGGACGACGTTCGTCCAACTCGGCGGCGCGGCCCGCCACCCGTCCGGCGCTTCTTCTTCTTCCTCCTCTTCTTCTTCCTCCTCTTCTTCTTCTTCCTCTTCTTCTTCGTCCTCCTCTTCTTCATCTGCTTGTTCTTCGTCTGCTTCGACGGCATCATCGCCCGAAGACGCCTCCTCTTCGTCTGACGCGTCTTGGGACAACGCGTCGCCGTGGCGACGCAGCGGCGAGCCCCGGCTCAGCAAGCACACGAGCGGGCCCGCCTCGCGCGCGTTCCAGCGCCAGCGCGACGCGCGGTCGGTCCCCATTCCGCCGCTTCCGGACTCGCGGCGTTTGAACGACGCGTAAATGATTAGCCATCGGGGCCCCGCGGGGACTCCCCCGCACAAAGACGGACCGCGTCACTGTCGCTCTTCGCGTTGGGGTCCACCCGACCCCCAAGAACGCACGAGGGTTATAAAAAACTCATATTCGGTGCTCTCACCGCGGGTTAGATTCCCGGTCAGGGAAAAAACTTTTTTTT